TCCTCCTCCTCCTCCTCCTCCTCCTCCTCCTCCTCCTCCTCCTCCTTCTCTTCCCTCTCTCTCTCCAAAAGACAAAACGATGAGGGAATCCTTCCAGCTTCCAGGAAGGCAGAGTTCCTGATGCAGATCATATCTTATTAAGGCCAATAGGACAATCAAGTTTTAAACTTAATTCATATCAAATGATTTGACTGCATGCCATCTGGTTAGTGTTGACTCTCAGCAACCACATAAATACATTTTCACCGTGACACTCTGTCCCTATCCTGACCCAGGGACCCTCAGAACTGGGACAGCTTGTTAGCAGGGAGGAATGGGGGCAGGATGACCGAGAAAGGGCAAGCAGTGGACACAAGGAGCGACGGAGCTCAGGCGATGAGCAAGGACCACCCCCTCCTGATCCCCGAGCACGGAGAGTGGAGAGAAGGCAGGAACAGTGCAGGTTGACCCAACTACTCAGGAGAAGAGCATCCCATCCCTCTTCACAAGGCACACCTGGGGACTAATGTTTAAGGAGATGCTATGGGGAGGGGTGTCTGTCGGGAACAAATGCTGAATTGGTAAGAGTTTGGTGTGCCGGTATAGACATTTGGAGGTTGCAGGACTGCTGGCTTCTTCCTTATATTTGTGGACTCATTTCCCTGTTCCTTTGTTTTGCTGGACTGGGGTGCAGCCAGAGCCGGCCGTGTGTGTATGTTTATGAGGCTTTGCTCTGGGACTTGCCAAGAATGTGAGAGTGTTTGGAGGGGAAGTTTGGCGCAGTAAAGGGGAGTTTGAACTCTCTGCTGGCTGTGTGACCTTCGTGCCTTGTCCCGGGTCATCACAGTCTCCGTTAAAATTTTTGCTGATTGAACCACTCCAAATGAAACCATCAACAGCGCAGAATTCCTACATTTGCAGAGTTCTTCGGTCCCCTTTCACCATAGGGTTCTCTCTCTTCTTTTCATTGTTTAGTTTGATGTCCAAGGCTCGGAGCTGGCTGAGGAATCCGGTGTTTGGACAGATGCCTCTGTGAGAGTCCACTGATTTCAAGGCTTCCACGAGTGTCAGGTTTTCATGGATCATCAAGTAGGCCAACACTAAAGTGGCCGAACGACTTAGCCCCATAGCACAGTGGACAAAGACCTTGCCTGGAAAGACAAAACAGAAGCAACTCTGAATGCACATGGTTCATGTACAATTAACAGCCCACCAGGGGTGTCCACAAGCAGTGTTGGGATTCAATTTTTTTTACTACTGGTTCTGTGGGTGTGGTGTGATGGGCGTGGCTTGGTGGGCATGTCAGGGGCAGGATAGTGTAAAATCTCCATTCTCTCCCCACTCCTGGGGGAAAGGTTACTGCAAAATCCCCATTCCCTCCCCACCCCACTAACCTGCTTTCCAGCTCCCTTCTCCTGTGCAAGGCAACCAAAGAAGACCCAGCCAATCAGCTGGGACTCAGGAGGCAGAGAATAGATGGGGGTGGGGCCAATCAGAGGTGGTATTTGCCGGTTCTCCAAACTACTCAAAATTTCCACTACCAATTCTCCAGAACTGGTCAGAACCTGCTGAATACCCACTTCAGTCCACAAGGAATGGTCAAAAAAGTCAAGATGAAGGTTGTGATGGTGGCGTCAAAGCTTCCTTGATTTTTATGCGCTGTGACACACATAAAAAAACATGCAGAACTTCGACTGAACTAACAAAATCATCATCTTGATTTTTTTTTTCTCCTAATCTTTCAGACATCCCTTTTCAAATCTCTCTAAACTGTTTTGTATGGTGAACAATCTCAGGCTGCGTTTGCACGAAATTAATATTATATCATTCCTGGAATTTGAGCTTTGGTTCTTCATAGTTGTGCTGTCCTGCTCACCCACTTACACACATAGCTGTGGTTTAATGAGTTTCTTGATATTCTCCAGCAAATCCCTTCACCAAAAAACCCAGAACTGTCCCAATGAAGTGCAGCCACCAGCAGACCAAGGCTTGTCCACTGAGCAATGGCCAATGAGTCCACAAGGCCCTTGAAAGTTTCTCACTCAAAATAAACCCACCAGGCAAACTAAAATCCACAAGACAAGAGGCAAGGAAAGTCCAGAGTTCACAAGGCACGACCCAAATCAAGACACGGTTTCAATCCAAAGCAAAGCAAGAATCACAATGACTAGAAAACACACAGCTAGGAAATCAATACGTTGTTCTCAGCATCGCTTGCCTCTCTTTGCTGTGCTAAACAGCCAGCTTCTGGTGTAGCCCATCAGGGAAGGCAAGGCTGCCTCCTCACAAGTAATCTAGCTGACCTTCGCTGCTCCTGCCTCATTGTTTCTCTTCAACTTGTGCATCTCCTGGTATTATATTCTTCTTATTAAACATGAAACTCAACCAACAGAACATTTAACGATGTATCACAAATATCATTGACTGGTGCTGATGGTTGATACAGATCGAACCGGTAATTAAAAATGATAAAATTAGCTCCTGATTCGCCTGAATTGTGGCAAATCGGTAGCAAACACCCACCCCGGCTCCTCTTACCTCCTGCAGAATTTAAGGCCTGGTGTATGAAGTCGGCAGCCTCGTGGAAGAAGACGCTTATGTCAAACGAATTGTCATCGAAAGCTTGCACTCCGTAATACTGAATCGGAAGGTCCCGGTAATAACGTGCTCCAGTGTTGACGCTGTAGGGCCCGTCGGCTGCATTAAGGATGTGAGTGGTGCCGATGCTCCGAAGAATGGATTTACTTCTTGCTGCCCATCTGTCAAAAGACAATCAAAGCTTGTCAAAAGACAATCAGAAAAGAGGAAAACTGGAGAACCATCTTCGGCCCATTACATCGGCCCATGGGTCAGGCAGGGAGGTTAGGCTGTAGTACCCATCAATTAAGGAACTTTGACTGGCAGGATTCAGGAAGACAGCCTTCTCTATCAACCGCTTCCATCCAGTGACTGGTTCAATGCCCAGTTGCCGGGTGGGTGGGGCCATAATGGGTGGGGCCTACTGGAAATTCTTGTTTCTGGCTTCTGGTGAGCCTCCAGAGGCCGGGTGAGGCCATTTTCACCCTCCCAAGGGTCCAGGGGCCTCCCCCGGGCCTCTGGGATGGCAAAAACAGCCTCCCCAGGCTCTGGAGGCCCTCTGAAAGCTGGAAACAGGCCCATTTCCGGACTTCCAGAAGGCCTGTTTTTTCCCCCTCCCAGCGCCTCCGCGCAGACCCTACCCTTATCTCCATCAAAAATGGACCACGTGGAGACTCCTGGGTGGAGAGGAGAGGGAGGGGAGGGGACAGCCAGTCGTTGGAAATACCGGTTTGGAGAACCAGATGTAACTTTAACATCAGGTTCACCCGAACCGGTTGAATACCACCCCTGCATCCATCCTTTGGAACAGACTCCCTCCCCTTCCCCCGCCCCCAGGGGTGAGGTACCTCCCCCTCCCCATTCTCCTGGCCTTTCGCAAACTTCTGAAGCCCTGGCTCTGCCAACTCACTTGGTGTTGTATTCACTGAACTGACGACAGTTCCCAATCCGGTCCGCGTTTCTGGCGGGAGAGCCGATCGCTCCCATTGGTTGATGCCGTTTGACAGCCGGCTATAAAAGGAGCTGTCAAACGGCATCAGCTGCTGCTGCCAGCTGACTGCCTGCTAGCCATGGCAGCTGCGGCAACCCTTTATTCATTGAATAAAGCCCTTTGCTGTTAGCTCTGTGTCTGCCTCGTATCTACCACCACTTTACAACACTTGGGCCCCACAGAAAAACATGCTGCCATGGCTTGAGTTATTCTGAATGTTAAAGGTTACTTTACCTTGGATTCAGAGATTTATATAAGTTATTATGTCTTATTTGGGTACCAGAGTCACTTGGCAAGGCAGGTGGCTTTTTAAAAGTCTGATATATAAATATAAAATAGAGTGGTTCGGCCTAGAAGTGGAACTCTCACCTCACAATCAGGAAACTGTGAATTCAATCCTAGGTAGGGGCAGATATTTCTCTCTCTGGGCACACTGTGGATACATCCGCTGAGCAAAACTCCACATTGGTGACAGGAAGGGTAGCCGGCCAGTAAACACTCAGCTCCATTCAGTTGCCCAGACAACTCCTCTTATGGGGTTGTTTAAAGAGTATGATGATATAAATATAAGCGAAATAAATCTCTTCTTGGTCATCGTTGAATGTCATGCCAAAGCCCATCGGGGCTCCTACCAACTGAATTTCAGCTACCTACAACCCACTCCGTCCAGGAGTGATAGATCCATCGCCTCCAACTTGGTCGCATCCTTCCTGGGTAGCTATTGGAGTGAAAAAGAAGCAAGCAGAATTTGCTTTTCTTCCTCTTAATGCCGGGACAAAGGCCTTCAGGAATTCTCCTAGCTTGTTCAGGGGCTGTGATGTTTGTAAGCCCCGGGCAACTTCTCTTGATCAAAGTGAAAAATGTACAGCTTTGATCATGAAATATGGGTTGATTGACAGTGTTCCCTCACTAGCTCCTGGGCCTGGAATTCTCCTTCATTGCCAGTTTACAGACCAGATGTTCTCAACATCATCGCTAGCGTTTTCATTGGAATGGTTTGACAAAGCCACAGCGGCTCTGATTTCTAATTATCCTCAAGTGTAGGTCTGTTTAATGATCCTTCAGTATGGATGATGAAAACAATTAGCAGGGTATGCAGAAGGCAGGAAGCTGGTAATGTGTTTTCAGACTAACAAACACAATTAAATGGAGAAGCTTTCAAGGAGCTCACAAAAACTTGCCTCTTAATGCCTCCATTAAAATGTGCTAGTGAGAAAATGTACTGTAAGGCTTCCTCTGATTTTGGGCTACCAAATATTAGCACACTTTCCTACAATATGTGGTGGGTTGTTTTTTTTACGTGCCACCATTCCAGGTCTGTGCAGTTTCATTGCACACAGATGGCGACTCAGCCCTTCGTTTATTTTCCATGGAATTGAAGACTTCCAAGATTTTGCTGGGAAAAAAAATTGAATTTGGGGGATCCTGAGGGCAGCTAAACATGTCCTCTTTTTTTCCTAACCCCGCCCCCCATCTCTGTATCAGTGGTGGGATTCAATTTCTTTTACTACCGGTTCTATGGGCGTGGCTTGATGAAAGTGGCTTGGTGGGAGTGGCTTGGTGGGCGTGGCAGGGGAAGAATACTGCAAAATCCCCATTCCCTTCCCACCCCACTAACCTGCTTTCCAGCTCCGTTCTCCTGTTCAGGGCAACCAAAGAAGAGCCAGCCGATCAGCTGGGACTCGTGGGAGGCAGATAATAGATGGAGTTGGTGAGGACAGTCATAGGTGGTATTTGCTGGTGCTCTGAACTACTCAAAATTTCCACTACCGGTTCTCCAGAACTGGTCAGTACCTGCTGAATACCCACCTCTGGTGTGGTCAAGATGTGATGCAAAGAAAAACCAGATGCTTGGTTGTGTTGTCCACACACCACCATCTTGGCTTTAATGATTGTGCCTTATGCACTCTCTCCTACTGGAGGGAGAAATGCACCAACGAGCCCAATTTTCCTTACCCCTGTTGAATCTCTGGAGGTGAAGGCACTTTCGGGACCCCTTTGACTAAAAGAGTGATCTGTAGGTAATGCTCCTAAACAACCATCCTACTTACGCATCTCCAAGGTAGAGGTTTGGCCACACTTGGTCCACATGATTGTCAGATCCTCCTCTGGCCCATACCAGTCTCTGCAGTTCGGACAGTGCTGGGGTCACATAATGGTTGTCCCCCTCTGGAGTGGGATTGTGGGAAGAATGAGTGCTTAGATTGCTCATGGCTGCTCTGTTACTTCTGTTCACACGGTGGTTCCCCACTGACCTTTCTGGAAACAAAAGAGTTAGGATTTTCTATCAATTATGATATTTTGCATATAATTGATGTTCTAAATTGCTCTTTTCTCCTCCTCCATGGCTTCTTCATCGGCCACTGAAGAAAAAGTTTCTTTTTCTTCCAGTTCAGCATGGAAACATGCAGAATAGAATAGAATTATTTATTGGCCAAGTGTGATTGGACACACAAGGAATTTGTCTTTGGTGCATAAGCTCTCGGTGTACATAAAAGAAAAGTTACATTCATCAAGAGTCAAGAATCATCAGGTACAACACAACGATAGTCATAGGGTACAATAAGCAATCAAATCTACTAGGAAACAGTCAATATAAATCGTAAGGATACAAGTGACAAGGTTACAGCCATACAGTCACAAGTGGGAAGGGATGGGTGATAAGGAGCGGTGAGAAGATTAATAGTAATAGTAGTGCAGACTTTGTAAATAGTTGAACAGTGTTGAGGGAAATATTTGTTCAGCAGAGTGATGGCATTTGGGGAAAACTGTCCTTGTGTCTAGTTTTTCTGGTGTGCAGTGCTCTATAGTGTCATTTTGAGGGAAGGTGTTGAAACAGTTTATGTCCAGGATGTGAGGGGTCTTTAGATATTTTCACAGCCCTCTTTTTGATTCGTGCAGTGTACAGGTCCTCAATGGAAGGCAGGTTGGCAGCCATTGTTTTTTTTCAGCAGTCCTAATTACTCTCTGAAGTCTGTGTCTGTCTTGTTGGGTTGCAGAGCCAAACCAGACAGTTAGGGGGGTGCAGATGACAGACTCAATCATTCCTCTGTAGAACTGGATCAGCAGCTCCTTGGGCAGTTTGAGCTTTCTGAGTTGGCGCAGAAAGAACATTCTTTGTCGTGCTTTTTTGATGACATTTTTGATGTTAGGTGTCCATTTTAGGTCTTGTGATATGATAGAACCCAGAAATGTGAAGGTCTCTACTGTTGATACTGTGTTGTCTAGTATTGTAAGAGGTGGTAGTATGGGAGGGTTTCTCCTAAAGTCGACCACCATTTCTATGGTTTTGAGTGTATCCAGTTCCAGATTGTTCCAGTTACACCACGAGGCAAGTTGTACAACCTCTTGTCTGTATGCAGATTCATCATTGTCACGAATGAGGCCAATCACTGTTATGTCATCTGCAAACTTCAGCAGCAGAACAAGATAGCTGAGAACAAAGGGTTGAATGATTGGGGACCAAACACCAAAGTGAGTGACCAGGATAGAAGGACTTCAAAGGGATTTGAGAGGGAATGAATAAGGATCAAACCAGAAAACAAATATATGAAGAAAAAGATAAATGGAGAAAGACCAAGACATTTGTGATTCGACTGAGTTGATGAGATCTTCAGAGACAAAGATGAGACACTTACAGGACACAAAACCTGTGCAGGAAGCTGTTTATGCATATGGTGGAAGCAAGGAGTGTTTGCAAAGGCAGAAAAGTGTGGAGAGTAAGCTGTGTTGACACAAACTACTTCTAGTTCGACTCCCCTTTCTTTTCTTTTCTTTTCTTTTCTTTTCTTTTCTTTTCTTTTCTTTTCTTTTCTTTTCTCAAACCTCCTGATTTTAAGTTCTTTGGCTTATGATTTAGTCACCCTGTTTCTATAGACGCTTGTAGAAAGTTAGCACCCAGCCCTCTCCTAGGAGAAGGAAATATTTTGAGAAATATTAAAAAGGCAGAATATTATATATTTCCCAAAAAATAAGAAATAGAGAAACATGCTCTTAAAAAAAGACAGAAAGCAGACTCAGTCTCCCCGTCCCCAGCAGATATTTTGGGCCCGTAAAGAAAGACTGGGCCAGCCTATCTACGAAACAAAAGACCTTCAGCTCCAGGATGATGGGATTATCGTCCAGGACATAATAGGATTAACCTATTACCATTTAGCAGAAGGCACAGAGCTCACTATATTGCACAATCTCCTAAGGACATTGCATCACCCTCAGAAACTTCCACTAAACTTCCGCTCAGACAAACACCTAGGATTTGCACTTTGCCTATAGAGCCAGCTATGACCCCTACATAAATCCCTACATGGCCCCAACAGGAGTCTGACAACAGCCAATAGAATACATATCTTTGCACAGGAACAGGAAGCTCAAGTGCAAAACCCCAAGGAAGGGATAAAAGCCACCCACTCTCAACTCCATTTTGTCAGCTGCCCAGAACCACCTATGTGGTTCTGCTTCATCATTAAACCATCTTTCCAACCAGCCTCCATGTTTCCAGTATCTTTCTCCCAGCTTGGAACTGAACCAGATGGATATTCCTTCCAACACGCTGGAGATGGTTGATGGACTAATAGCCGATCCCATCTTACTCACTCCTTGTTCCCACCTTCCCATCTTTGTAGCATAATTTATAATTTTACTGCTATTTGATATAGAGCAATATGTATGTGTGTGCACACACAGAGACACATTCATATGCACACACAGGGAAGCTTCTTCTTCTTTTTATAGAAAACTAGCCGATAACCCAGCATTGCCCAGGTATTTATTTATCCCAATCCTGTATTAGACAGGAAAATCCTGTAGTCGGGACTCACATTGTTGTACTGTCTCTCGCATAGCGTCTCACTCACAAGTCTTCTATTCCTCTCCTCAGGAGTTTCTTGTCTATGCTGGTGTTTCATTTTTTTGATTGAACTTGGCCAATCGGCTGACGTTTCCTTGGAGGGATGACAGAATGCCCCCTGGTGGAGTACTGGAATACTGTGAAGCTATAACCATGGCAAGTCCATTGTGCTGTACAGTAGAAGCCATTTTAAGGCACACACATACACACACTGAGAAGTGTTAGGGGTGTCTTACCCCCACAGTATTTGTTTCCAGAGGGTAAGTCATCTGTGTACCAAGTTTGGTTGAAATTGCTTGAGACATTCTAGAGTTATGCTGGAACATACACTTCAAATGGTCACTAAACGAAGGGTTGTAAGTCTATACTTTACTTTACTACCTGTACTTACTTTACTACCTGTACTTTAGTAGGATGAAGACCAGAGGAAGCTACATAAGAAGAGAAGTTCGTTCTTCAAATTACACTTACTATTAGGGGAGACATGATAGCATGTTCCTGTCAACTCATTTCTTTTGAAACTTGGCTCATGAATTAATTAGGGCATCCGTTGGAACCCTGACAGTTCCAATATTTGAAGGGCTTCCACAGAGAGGAGGGGGACAGCTTATATTCCAAGGCATTTGAAGGCCAGACAAGGAACAATGGATGGAAACTGATCAAGGAGAAATTCAACCTGGAAATAAGGAGAAACTTTCTGACAGTGAGAACAGTCAATCGATGGAACAGAAGTTGCCCTCGGAAGTTGTGGAAACGCCATCACTTGAGACCTTCAAGAAGAGATTGGACTGCCATTTCTCAGAAATGGTGTTAGGTCTCCTGCTTGGGGGGGGGTTGGACTAGATGACCTACACAAGGTCCCTTCCAACTCTGTTAAACTGTTAATTAAATCTGTTAATTATAAACAAAAAGATTGGTACCTGGTTGCAGTTGGTTATTTTGTTTGTTATCTTCTGCAAATCCTTGCAGGCTCTCCTTTCCTTTCATCCCCAAGTAATAAAGCCTATCGCTTAATCCTTCTGGCTGGTTTCTTTTTTTAGTCACCAATAGCCAACCCTTCTGCTGGTGTTGGATAAACACTGTTTCTACACAGTGTGTTTATAGATTAAGTTTCTGATGCTTTGGGCTGGCTTGCAGCCTGCTTCCTGGCCCCGGCATCCTGTAATCAGAGTAGAAATATGAGACAAACGGTTTACAAATAACCACAGAAATAGCTCAAGATTCTTAAAATATAACCTGGGGAAGGACTGACAATTGAGAGAGGATTGCATCCTTTCAGTGGAATAGGCTAACTTTACAATATATTTTCCTTGCAATAGTAAAAGGGCCAGGGGTAGAATTCAAATGTCTTAACAACCAGTTCTGTGGGTGTGGCCTAATTTGTGGGCATGGCTTGGTGGTCACGTGACTGGCTGGGCATGGCTTGTATGTAAATATTATAAATATTTATGTTAATATTGGATTTTTTGTTTAAAAAAGAGCAACTTTTACCCAAGCAGGCAGGCAGATTGAGTTGCTCACAGAATCAGAGATTCACTTAGAGATCTATCTTTCTGCAATCTGCTACCTGAGTTTGCGCTGAAAAATAGAAGCTTCAGTCCTAACGAAAGTTCAGCTCTGCTTTTAGATTAGCTAGAAAGCAAGGAATCCAACAATTTCCTGCTTTCTAGCAAATCTAAATCTCCTGGCACAGCAGAACAGCTGATGGTCAGGGGAAAAGAAAAAGAAAAATAGCAACTTAGCAAGCAAGTTTGCCAGGTAAGGAGTGAGTGGATCGGGAGGGGAGAGACAGGGCCATCCAGCGGTGCAATTTGCTGGTTATCCAAATTGGGCAGAATCATAACAACCGGTTCTATAGAACCGGTCTGACCAGGTAGAATCCCACCCTTGAAAAGGGCTATTCTAAATTTGTATTGTATCCTGGGTCTGCATAACACTTAAAGCCGGCTCTTGCCAAATTATTTTACATTTTGCTACTAGTAGAAAGGCAGAATCTATTCAAATTAGACAGGGAATGTTGATTTTATAGATCCTGTTGTGATATGCTTTAGAGCTGTGTTTTCAAATTTGCGATCCTGAAATTTGTGGACTTCAAGTCCCAGCATGCCAGCTGCGGGATTCTGGGACTTCAAGTTCATACCTGTTCAACTGCCAAGGTTGAAAAACACTGCTTTAGAGATTTCATCCTGAAAAGAGGCAGGGAGGATAAGGATTAAGTGTGATAACAACTGCAACACTCCTGGTGATTTTCTGCAAAAAAGCGACCCTCAACCATTTCTTCTTTATGGAGAAAAGCTGCTAGTAAAGTGTTGGGAAGTGTACTCTCCAGATTGCAAAAAGAAACTTGACTCCATTGGCTGTCTCAGCTCAGTAAGAGCACCAACAGGCGAAGCAATTGGCAAGTGTCTATCCCCAGCAGATACGATAAGAGGCTTAAGGAATTCCCACCATTCTGCACCAGAAGCTGTCAGCACACATGAGATCTCACCGCTCAGCAATCTGGTCCAAGGGCTGCTAATCTAGCCAGGATGGGAAACAGCAGGGGGCAAGTGGGCGGGGCCAGTCAGAGGTGATATTTGCCAGTTTTCCGAACTGGTCAAAATTTCCTCTACCAGTACGCCAGAACCAGTCCGAACTGGCTGAATACCACCTCTGCCCCCTGCACCATGCCAATGAACACAGCCACTCTCAGAGAAAAGTGCATTGGATATCACAGCTTCCTTTGGGTTACACATTGTTGTAGCTGACTCTGCCGGAGAATAAGGTTTCTCCACTTCGCAGGCAGAAATCTGTGGCAGAGGTGGGGTGAGGTTGGGGGCAACCTTTGCTGGTTTTTCTCAAGCAGCTATAATGTGACCTGTTCTAGAGCATAAGAAGGCTGGATTTGCCCTCCATCGATTTCTTCATTGGGTTGCAGTGTGATAAAAGATCAAGTTTTCTTTGTTTATAGGAGAGGTTTGCAGTGTCAACGTTCCAAATGACGAACCCAACCAAAAGCAAGCACAGGTGAGACCATCCAATCTCCGAATGCAAAACTTGATTGAGTACATCATTTCGGCTCAGACATGGGCAAAACCAAATCTAAGTATTTCCCGCACAAACCCACATAATTAAATGTGTGGATTCTCCCTCCCCCTATTAGAACGGGTCACATTGTCCAGTTGAGTCTCATTGTACTGTTATGAGAAAAAGGTGTTGGCTTTGGCAAACACTCGCCAGAGCGTCCTTGGTTCCCACTGCTGTCGATGTCCGGACCCTCCATTCCATCACCCCCTTCCCTCCCCCCTGGTTCATTGGCAAGCTGAGAAGCAATAATGGTTGCAACTGCAAAAGTGCACTTCAAACCTTGACACAAGCGTTGTAGGCTGCCCGCTTTGAACACTAGGTGTTGCTCTGGAACAACACACAGAATATGAGGAAATAATGCTTCCCTCTGCTCCAAGTTATTTTCCAAATTATGTGGAAAATAGTTGAGTTATTTTCCAAAGCACCAGAATGCAAGACTGGAAGCAGTGGAAGGAAACTAACCAAGGAGACAAACAACCTAGAACTAAGGAGAAATTTCCTAACAGCGAGAACAATTAACCAGCGGAATGGCTTGTAGGTGCTTCATCACTGGAGGCTTTTAAGAAGAGATTAGACAGCCATTTGTCTGTAATTGTGTGGGGTCTCCTCCTGAGTCAGGGTTTGGACTAGAAGACCTCCAAGGTCCCTTTCAACTCTGATGAAGTTCTAGGTTCTGTTCTGTAATCAAAATGGCTGGCCTTAGTTAAGTCTCTGGCTGCAATGCCTCTGGTTGCCATATGTAAAATGATAGGGTAACCTGTAAACGTTCATGTTATGGAACAGGAGAACGGCCAGATAAGATGTTTAACTAGTGACAGGAAAGCTTTTAATGTGTTTGCTCTCTGGCTCCCATTGGGACTCACAAATTTAACTGAAACCTTATTGAGTTATGACCAGATGTTAATTGGGAAAACCCAGATGATTGCTAGGTTGTGGCAAAAGATTTGCATCTCGTGATGATCTGGATTTTTGCAGCCTCTGGATAATAGTTCTATGATAAGTACCCGATCATTGATTACTAAGCCATGTGAGCATATAGACCGAATGGAACGATGGGTAGGTTTATTTGTTGCATCCCTGGTGTGTCAATCCAAATACCACCTCTAAACACCATCTGTGGCACTCTTTTTTATTTTTTATTTGTTTGTCGAGCATATATTAGATCAGGGTTCCCCAACCACCAGGCCCCGGACCGGTACCGGTCTGTGGATCATTTTGTACCGGGCTGCCTACTTTGCTTGGGCGCCACCATCTTGTTTCGACGGCGCTTGAGAAAGTGCTTCTGGGTGAGCTTGTCAGTCGTCGGTTGGATGGAAAGCGGCGTTTGGGTGCTGAAGGAATCCTCGCGCCTTAGTTTTGTCGAAAGGGTGGGGGCGGCTTCGAATGAAGAGCCGTCCCAATGGCGGTGGAGTCTCGTGTTACTCAGGAGGAGATTAAGAAAGAGCCCGAAAAGCCCATCGACTGCAAGAAGGTGCAAAGGAGGAGTTGAAGGTGGCGGGGAGAAGTGGGGGACGGCTGGCTGGCTGGTCACTCAGCTCGCCTTGCCTTGGTCGTGCGTGCTGATGCCGGTACCGGTCCATGGATTATTTTGTGATGCCGGTACCGGGCCGTGGTACAAAGAAGGTTGGGGGCCACTGTATTAGATAACAAATATGTATAAACATGATTATTAATACATGAAATGGATATAAATAAAAGGGAACATTAGGACAAGGCTTGGTGGGCGTGGCTTGATGGGTGAGGCTTAGTGGGCGTGGCAGGGGAATGATACTGCAAAATCCCCATTCCCTCCCCACTCCACTAACCTGCTTTCCAGCTCCGTTCTCCTGTGCAGGGCAACCAAAGAAGACCCGGCCGATCAGCTGGGACTCAAAGGGAGGCAGAGAAGAGATGGGGTTGGTGGGGCCAGTCAGAGGTGGTATTGGCTGGTTCTCCAAACTACTCAAAATTTCCGCTACCGGTTCTCCAGAACTGGTCAGAATCTACTGAATACCCACCTCTGGAAGGCACGTTGATGCGCTTATGCACGCCCCTCACAAACCTCCTAGGAAAGGGGTGAGGTAGACAGTAGACAGTCTAAGGTTAAAGTTTTTGGGGTTTGGGGAAGAAACCACAGAATCAGGTGGAGTATTCCAGGCATTGACCACTCTCTTGCTGACGTCGTGTTTCCTGCAATCAAGTTTGGTGTGGTTTACCTTGAGTTTCTACCTATTGTGTGCTTGTGTGTTGTTATGGTTGAAGCTTGGAATTGGCACGTTTTCTTTCTCCTTGGAGGCTTTGTATTTCTTGTTGCTTGTTCAAGCCCTAACACCCTGTGTGTGCTTGAACACAAGGGCACCATGGCAAATATTATCTAAGTTACTCCCATCTCGGTGGCTTTTGACCCACTGTTTTCCAGGACTTTTGTTTCCCACTGTTGCGCTCTGTATCAAATGCTGCCGACCAAGTCATCCCCACCCAATTTTTCCAAGTTTCAAATGAGTCAGACTATGAGCTGCATGGAAAATATGTTTGCTTCTGAGGTCACCGGAGAACTGGGTGCCGCATGGGTGTGGCAGGCAGAGAATATGGCAGCAAAAAAAAAAAAAAAAAACCACAGAAACCATGTAGTCCAAACCTATACAGGCAAGAAGAAAACGTAGTAAGACGTAACCTTCAAAATGGTTTGAAGGCTTGGTTACTGTTTTATTTTACGCACAGTTATTTTGATGCAATCAGGTTTTTTAAAATAAATTTTTTATTAATTTTCCAAATTTTAAAAAACATAAAACAAAATTTTATACATCGTTCTCAACATCAAGACATCTTTTGCATTTCCTCACATTTTTCAGTATATGTATTTACTTATTTCTTTACCATTACATCTTACTCTTACTATAAATCAATATCTTTTATCCTT